GAATTCGTTTATGTTTATGATACATAATGGGTCTTTTCTAGTATTCGTGGGTCTTGTGTAGGTATCGGCTTTAAGATATTACGGTTATTCAACAAAATAGTCAATTATACAGTTTGAAATAGGTTAACTAAAATCTAGAGAATTTACCACATAAATCCCTAAATTATTATGCAATTGGTACATCAAGTATGCGCAGATGGATTTCAACCGATTCAAATTTTGTTATAAAACCAATTACAATTCATGGTACAATTCTCATACAAGATCTAATTGTTTAGAAAATTTGCTAAGATATGTTTTTCATGTTTTCTAGATCAAAATTAGGCTCATTTCCTTAGCAATCATAAAAATGGTAAAACTACAGTTTGATGAAACTCTTGTTTTGTTGTTTATCTTATTTGAATTTGATCAGCTCAGATAAATAAAAACGGCGTCGTATATTTAAAAAAAAAAAAGAAAAAAATAGTTTATCACTGGTCCAATATGTCCGATGGCATTTTCATAGCATGCGGATGGATGTATGCATTGCTGGAATTTTACTATAAATTAACTCATACATGTTGCAAAAAAAATCTAATGAAAAAAATAGTTTACTGACTTAAGATTATAATTGTTTAAATATCCCGATAGTAGCTAGCCGGCATACTAAGTGAATTTTCAGTTGCTTTATTTTACTTTTGCCAAGTATTTTTGTGCTGCGGTGTTTAGTTTTTTGCATACGATGCAGCAGCAACATAGCAATTCAATCGTAACTTGGCAAATAGAGTACGGAATAGTTGTGCGTTCACAAACTACCACTGCGGGTGTCTAATGAGAGAGAAAGAGCGTAACATCAACGGAGTGGATACAAAATGATTGAGCAGGATGCGGTTTTCAACCACAATGCCATCCTAATGACACCTACAAGGAAATCGGCCACTCTTCATATAGTCCAGGAGCTGAGGGGGTTTGAGCATGCATGAAAGTAGTACGCAATGTTATTGCTGATTATTGTAATATGGACTGTGGTGATCAAAATTACGTATGTCGCCTATTTCAAAAGTGGTCGATAAGGTGGGGGGAGGGGGCAAACATGGCGGTTTGCGCTATGCGTTAAAACGCTGATAGTTCGAAAACGGTAAAAGATAGAACATCGGTTAAAACGTCGTTGGAATTCTACTTTCGGTAAAAAAACTACACGAAAAGTCCATTTTTACATATTTTATACAATAACTTGTTTATTTATAGAGATACGACCTCGGACCCAATAACCATTATTGTTGTCCACATTTTTAGAATTCCAACGACGTTTTAATCGATGTTCTATCTTTTACCGTTTTCGAACTATCAGCGTTTTAACGCATAGCACAAACCGCTATGTTTGCCCCCTCCCCCCCACCTTATCGACCACTTTTGAAATAGGCGACATACGTAATTTTGATCACCACAGTCAATATTACTATAATCAGCAATAACATTGCGTACTACTTTCATGCATGCTCAAACCCCCTCAGCTCCTGGACTAATACACATGAATGGAAATTGATCTGAATAATGTGTAACAGTTACTGAACCCATTTTGTGTACAAAAACCACTTTTAGCGAATTTCCCATATAGGGAATATTTAAGAATTTCCCATGTAGAGAATAAGCTATTACCGTAGGTCTCATCCTAGACTCGGGACCGATTTCCTTTTTTATTTTGAGGTCCCCAGAGGCCAAAAACACCATCCGTTCAAATTCACATAAATGTGTGTCCGTTAGCGCTATAACTCTAGCAAAAATGATCCGATTTTGTTTAAATTTGGTTCAAACGTGTAAACCTACTATATTCGAACGAGTTCGCGAACCAGCATAATCGGACTATGGGAATCGTGGTTTATGGGGGGTTTTATAGGGTAAAAATAGATTTTTCCCACATTTTTTAAAATTTCATAATTTCTCTCTATACCATTTTGAAGAGCTTAAATAAACAAATAATTTAGTATATTGAAGTGTTTTGTTTGTTCATTGAATACGGAGAAAAAAAATTAAATTTAAAATTCCCATGTTATTATGGAGAATAAATAAACTTTTGTAGTTTGCTTGTTTATGGATATATTTTAATCATATTTCGCAATTTTTTATTTCATACTAAGCTATTAATATTTTAATAATAAAAAAACACACCTTAATATCTTCCCCGTAGCAGAAAACCTAAGTACTCACTAAAATTAATATTATTTAAATAGGAAATAAGTATGACAGTTTTTAGGGAATATTTTGGTAGAAAAGGCCGGGTAAATGGAAATTCGCTTAGTCTGCAGGTTTGCTGCGACGGGGGTATCATTTTTACTAGGGTGGGTTCGCCAACTAATACAAAATAGATATTACAGTATCACGTTTTACGAAAATTTGGTGTTAAAACAAAGTTTTTACCATCTGTACCATGTTTAACTTTCATCGTCCATGACTGAAGTTTTTATTCTTTTTATTAGGAAAGATTGTGGATGTCATGAAAGTTTGGAAAAATTCTAGTTTTTGTAACTACTTATTAACTACGTATTTAAATAACAAAATGAAAGCTCTTTTTTATTGGATTTTACAATATGAATGTTTTTTATGAAAAAAAAAAATCTTATTCACTTATATCAAGTTCTCGCATGTAGGACTATTCTCATTGAACTTAACATTCCAGTTAATACAATTCTAATACAAAATGTGGTAATTGGTTTCCAATCTTACGAAATGCGACTCCCAAGTTTTTGAATCACAGTCTCAAGACATATTGTAATCGACGATATAACTTAAAAGTGCAACTAAATGAAGCTCTTAATTTAAGTAGTCTCTCTTGGTTCGATTCAGTAAAATAAAAATTCGTATTTATGAGCGTTTTCTAGTAATAATTAACGCGACAAATTTGACACATTTTATAAAAATACAAACTTCTTATGTGAGTTTATTGGCACTCTGGATCATTTCGCCAAATCCCAGAGGAGAATGCTTTGGCCCTTGAGACAACATAGAAAATCCTCCACGTACCCTATTCAAAAATCCGTTAACTATCATAATTTTTCACGTTTAGTATCATAGGAGAAGTAAATTAGCCGTCGCATTGACGTCTTAACTCTTCTAGTCTCGCACGGGCTGTCGGACAACTGGAGGGAAATAAGCTCGTTGAAAAATGATTTTCGCGGGAAGGGAAGGGGCATTTTCGCGGGAAGGTAAGGGTAGGTTGGGGCGCCCGCAGCTCCATCATTAGCCGAGTGATCCATCTAGCCAGTGACACTCGATCTTGCGAGATAATCGAATGCCACAATCGAAACACTCATCAATACAGTACATTGGACACTAGAGAAATGTATAGTTGGAGAGAGTCAACGGAAATACAATCGCTAGTTCATTGGATAGCAATGATTGTTATCTCAAAGACGTTTGATGGCTAAAAAATGCAGTTCCAATATTGATGGAAACTTCATGTATAAATCACAATCCTTATACTTAATTTTGTGTATTTCGGCCCGTCGTTGTTCAACGAAGTCCCAAACAGTTTCGAGGTTTTTGGACTTGATTATCTGCCATTACATTATTATTATTAGCAATCCTTATATATAATTCTGAGACAAAATCCTTACCAGAAAATTGTGGACGTCTGGTAAGTCTCAGAAAAGTGGGAGAGGTCTTAAGTAAAGGTCTTGACCCCAGGGACTCGGGAAAATAGCAGAATTCCCATTAAGTTACCAGAAAACGAGATATAATATAAAATATCCACTATAAGAAAAGCATGGGGGCTGGAAGACGTCTGCATTCTAATCAGTTGTTACTTATGTATTTGCAACGTTTAAATTTATTCCGAAAGTCAAAGTCGTTAAATGATGTTTCAAAAGTATTTATTCACAAACAATAATTATATGTTTTCTGCCTTTAGCAGAGTTAAACCTCTGGAGCGCCACTCATCCTACACTCATCTCCATTCATACTTGGCTTAAAACACCTACTTTGTATGGTCGCAATTTCATTGAAAAGTATAAAAGTATTAAAGTGATTCAAATTATTTATTGAAAATAACGTCAACAAAATCAAACGAAATCACACCCAAAGATGGTATAATTCTTACGATAATTTGTTTTACATTTGAGCGCTTTAGGGACTTTTGTCCCTACAAGCCACTAGTAGTAATTTAAAGCCAAGTTTGGGTTAAAAATCTCTTAACAATTTTAAAAGTTGCCTACATAAAAAAGTAGTAGGCGAAACCCTAAGTGAAGTGATCTATTCCAGAATTTGGTTGAAATGAGAATAGTTACAGCATTTGATTGGATTTAAAAATCACATCATATAATGGAAAATCAATGCTTTATTTAGCAACATTAGATTATTAGTCGCAGGTGCTATTTCAACCTGCTTATCTAACTGGGACGGGTGGCGTCGTCCTGTAATCCAGCTACTAGGAGGCCACGAATTGCGGATAATTATAGGGATGCACTGTCACAGAAAACGTACTAGGTAGTACGTTTTCTGTGGCACTGTGGATGCGATGCTACCTGGTGTGGATTAACGTCCGCACTAGTGAGTACTACGACTATCCGCAGTACTATCCTAATAATTAGACCAATTAGTTAATTACGAGGAAAAAATGTGGTTCGGATTCCACAATAAACTGTAGGTCCCTTAGTTGCCATTAGCTGTATGGGCTATTAATTAACAGCTGTGTCTAAGAAACATGTCGGCCTTAGTCACTAACAAGACTACAAGATCGCGCCACTCATCCTACACTTATCCTTCACTTATATTTGGGTTAAAACACGCACATAGTGGCGTCCCCATCTTAAATAATTGATAATTGATAATTGAAAACCACTTACATAACCTCTGAACCTGCCTCTGACCACGTAAATATCCATTCCCCTTATTATTTCCGTCATCTTCGTTCCGCCGAAAAGAGTTGTCATATTTATGTCTTTACAGAATCAGCATCAACGCAGTCAGCAGGGTTCCCGGTGTAAGTATATCAACCTGTGTATGACTGTGTGTATTTGTTACAGGTGCATGACCAGACAGGACGGCAGGACGCTAGTAGAGCCGCCAGTCACACTAAAGGTAGATGCACTGTTATGTGTCCATGGTCTGTCACACTTTAGCCCAGGCTACGACGAGGACCAAGAGAAGTAAGTCGCTACATCATCCTATACAATATCTAGGTTTGATTTGTGCTCAAAAATTCAGTTGTACGCGACGCGTTCTATATACAGGGTGTCACACGTAAGGTGGCTCAAATTACGGAAAAACGGCTTAATGTACAAGGATGAAATAAATTATTTCCCACTAAATCGACCCCAAGGATTAACGTAGGAAATACAGTGTAAAAAAATAAATAAAAAAACTGCCACCATTTTGAAACGGAAAAAGATAATTGATATCTGTTTCAGCCAAAATGTTTGTCTATTAAATACCTTTAAAATTATGTATAACATGACAAACATTTGAAAATTCCGAGATTCGAACTAGTGACCCTCAGTTTTTGGCACACCCTGTATCGGAAAAAAAAGTTGAAATATTTTCACGTTAAATAAGGACGTTAAGGTTAAGAAAATGTTTTCCTTGGGGTCGATTTAGTGGGAAATAATTTTATGTATGTTAAGCCGTTTTTCCGTAATCAAATTGGGACACCTTACGTGGGACATTCATACATACAATACAACTGTATGCTCAATAATACAGTTGTACTTGTTCATCGTCAGATCTGTGTAGTCTACTCGTTTCACCCAACCTCAAAACGCACACCTGCTCGTTAGTGTTAAAATAAACCTTAGTGTGCATCTTGAATAAAACTCCTGGTTTATTGACAATTCTCATGGCGTTTTCTAAATACAAACTCATGATTAAAGATAAAATCTGTACTATTTGTTTATCTCACCTCAGAAAATCTATACAATCTTAATCACCGACTATGCCAATAATACCGATGTTAACCACAGTAATCACAGCTACTAGGAGTGCGCGGACAAGACCACGGTGACAATGCTAATTATATTCACGCATCTGATTAAGAGTGATTTACAGTGAGAGGCATTATGTCTGGGTGTCGCCATTATGGAAATGCGCGTGTTTTTGAGCCCGCCCACAGTTCTGCTCTTAGCATATTGAACAATTAATAACGTATTAGCGCCGTCTATGCTAATGCTGCCCCTTCAACTGTGGACTCGCGATGTTCGGTGTCGTTGTTCTGGCGGTGTGTTTTGAAGTGATCCAGAAATGTGTACTTTGATTGTAAGTATACGGTTATACTATGTTCATTTTTTTTCCTAGGACGCTAGGCACGAGCCTGGGATTGTTTTTCACATTACTTCAGGCTAGACCTAGGGGTTTCGCGGCATTATCACTTTGATAAAATCCATTGGTGACTTGGCGGGGATCGAACCCGGGACCTCAGCGACTGAAGTCCCGCGCTCTAACCACTACGCCAGCTCGCTTCTCGATACTATCTTCATTAGTGATGAGTTTTGAGGTGGTTTTGTGGGTATCTGTTTGTTCCGAGTTGAAGATGAAACTATTAAACCGACAAATTTAATTTACAGACATATGTACAGCAAGAATGAGGTAAACTGAAGAATGAGGTTCTAACCTAAACGCTTCAAAGTTTCGGGATTGGGCTTTTGGAAGTAAATATTGATGATTTCGAGAGCTGTCATAAATTTTACACAAAGTAAACATAAATAAATCGTAAAAAATACTATGTCGTGTAATAATATTTCTTATTTCGTTTGCGACAGTGTACGCGAATAAGAAGATACCATTTTGTAATTTTTGTAACGTTAAGAAACTACAAAATCGTTACTCAAGTTTTTAGAATATTTTTTTATGTCAATGCACTTGTTTGAGTGAAATTAACACAAGCATTATTATAAAAAAAAACCAATGTTCAAATATTAATTAGATATATTAAATATACAGGTGTAACCTCGTTTAAATTGATAATACCATCATAATAGACATTTTACTCTAACATCTATGTGAAGAATAATTTAAATCTGAATAAAAAATAAATATCGACCAACGGCCACTGATGATTGGCTTCCACCGTAAATAGAACTTGCCACCGAGGAAAATTTTTAGTTAAAAGGAAAGGGAAAAGGGAGAGCGATTCTGGAAGAAGAAAGGAAATTAATATTCGAACGAATGAACAAATGTTGGATTGAGAAAAGACAGATGGACACCAGCCGACTATGAAGGACGTAAAATAACATTAATATATTGCTCAATCAGTTTATAATGTAGCAGATAAAATGGTCTAAAGTTTTATTTGCTTAGCTATGGACTCAACTGATTTTGTTCACTCGGGTTCGCAGTGCAGTTTAGAGAAAGAGTTGGAAATAATGTTATTCCCTCAATGACCTCACAGGTCTAAAAACTGTGGTCCGAGTATTCTTCTATACCTGACGTAAAAAACCTGTCATCATTGATTTTTGTCACCTCTATTAATTCTAAGCATACTTTTTAAGTTTGTCGTAAAGGTTAAGACATTTTCGTTGCATTGTAAGTGTATGTTTATTTTATTTTGTGTACTTTTTATAAAATAAAGTATATTTGGATCTGTGTAACTTGCCGACGTTTCTTATTCTTTTTCCTTAGGTTTTTACCAACTAGTTTTTGGTGCGAGACTTCTGTCCAAGAGATCCCGAGTTCAAACCCCGCCAATTGCCATTGTATAGCTTTGGGACATTGCTTTGGTTTAGAGCCAGCTTCAAGATGTAGTACACCTATCAATAAATAAGGGTTCTTACTAGGAGAACTGCCTCTCTAAACGAAAATCTGGCTGATAATTAAATGTCTGGATGGTCATTTCAGTTTAGCTGTTCAATTTATTCAACATTATGAAAATTGATACTACACGAACCTCAATCTTTAGTTAAGACTTTTTACCGCGTCCTTTACAAAAGTAATTGGCACTTATTTACGTTTCCGTAAGTAAACGGTGTATTTAATTATGTGATTACTAATCGACAAAATCAATATTGATGAAGCTGATTAATTATCTCAGCCGCCAATTAACGTGTAAGGCAATGACACAAGGTTGTGTGGTGTAAATGTAAAAATGGAACGTAAAATGAATGTAAATTATTTGTAACTATATAGAAAATTGGAAATACTTTCGCATTCTTGGCATTAAACTATTAACTATTGTGTACTAGAGAAGGCTATGATTAAACACGTATGTAAATAAAAGTACAGGGTGTCCACAAAGTCTTGGTATGATAAAGAAACCGCATATTATAAAAACGAGTAGTAGGATACAGATTTATTTACAGATATAACAGGAAACTTCTTAAGATTTTATAACTACTGTATGTACAAACGTAACTCTACGTGTGCGCCTACAGTGGCCTGCAGATCTTCTATCCGTATTTTCAGTTTGTCCCAGGTTTTAGTCAGCATATCCTGGGTTACGCTACAGAATTTCTTTATCTATCCCACAGTGTGTGAATATTAGGAACCGGGGAAGAATAGACAGTGTCTTTGACAAATCCCCACAACATGAAATCCATGGGGTTTCATCGGGGAAACGAGGTGGCCATTTCTTCGGGCCATCACGCCCGATCCAGCATCCGGGGAAGTGAAGATTTAAAAATCCATCACACATTTAGCCCAATGAGGCGAAGTGCCGTATTGCTGGAAAATTATCATAGGTTGCCGTTCTTTTAATTGAGGGACTACATACAACTCCAACATAACTGTAAACAAACCCATTCACATTTTCTTCCCCAAAGACAAATTATTCAATGATTCCATTATGCATTACACCGCACCAAAGATTTAGTTTTGGGCTGGCACTTTCATTTTCAATCACAATCCTGGGATTTTCACTGACCCAAATTCTACAATAGTTATTGCGTATGTTAACTTTCCCACTTAAAATCAGGCCAAGACTTTATGGACACCTGGTAGTTTTTGAACCCTTTTAAAAATATTTGAGAACATTTGTCTATACGGCGATATTAAATTTACAAAAAATTATTCTATCAAAATGTTATCCAGTTTTATGAGGGGTTGAAAATTTAAGTTCCAAAATAGTTTTAACAATGAAAGATAATTTTATAGTTTACTTCGCAACAACCGTAAACGAATTTGTTCGGTCACGAGGTAGTGAAAGCGTATAGTTGAAAACAAGAGCTTGCAAAATGTCACAGACTATTTTTCATTTCATTAGGTTGTAAGAATCATGCTCTTACGACTATAATACATACGGTAATAAAGTTCGAAGACAGTTAAATATATAAAAAAATTGCTCTATCTAAATTATTTTTTTAAGATTTAACTGTCTTCGGACTTTATTGCCACCCTGTATAATTCACTTTTAACTATTTTGTGATTGAATATAAAGAATATGTGTCGGAACTTTGTAATCAGGGCATTTTCACCCCCGACGTAATGAAATGGTGACCCGCGTAAAAAAATGTTGTTGTGTTGGTATCACTGGTGATACTCTATGTTCCCGCCACGTCAGAAGCACCACATGAAGTTTACCCGCGTTTCTTACAACCGTGTCGCTCGGGTTTTGTCGCATTCCGTTCCGCCCCGTGGGCCAAACCTCATTACTCAAGGAATCTCATTAAACACTAACAAATTACAACGATTAATTAACTTTATAACTAACTTCCCGTCGCCACTTTTTGGTGGTGATAACTAAAGTGGCTGATTTCAAGTTTTCCGATGTCGCGGGTGGAAATTGTAATTTTCCAAAAGGTTCTTTTATAGTCTGTGGGTTTTATAGCTCGTTTCAGAATAAGTGACGGTGTTTTTAGGATATATTTTGAATGGTAAAAAGAATGTTTTAAAGAATATCTAACGATTTCGCTGATAATGTGTTTTGAAAATTATTAAACTTAAAAACAAACGTTGAAAAACTCATTTTTTCTATTATTTGCATTTTTATAGATATTAGACGCATTTTGTATAGAATCCTAAGAAAATGTTTCCGGTATTTGGGCCTATTATCCGACAATATAAAAAATAAGCATTCGATTTACAAAATATGACGCAGTTTTTTAGTTCCAAAGGCCTAATTATTTTTCAAAATTTCCCAAAGAATAACGAAAAGTCACGATGAAACTACAGAATATCCTTTGTTGTTTTTGAAATTTGTTACACGTTTTGCACAATGAGTTGTTCTTTGAGTATAAGGTTCCATTTGAAAGGGTTGTTATTTTCTAAATTAATATTTGACGTATCGGACACGCCACTAACTTAAAACATAACAACTGCAAAGTAACACATGTAATCCCACGAGTTTCACTTGAATCCAATCCATCAGAACAAAATCTCCGAACATGACGATAATCTTAAAGTAGTTAAATAATTGTGATTTATCATCAGTTAAGCGATTTTTGATTCACAACCCTTCATACAAATTCATAAAGTACAAGTTCATAAATCGCTATGCCATTGCTATCACCCTAGCAGACTTTTTCGCCAACTTTGTCGTTATTTTTTGCTCCGTCATTTTGTTCTGATTGAGACTCGGGGGGTATTTTTTCTTCATGTGTACTGTACTTATTATAACTGTAAAGCTGTAGCGTGTTCGATATGTTTGGATCTTAGACCTCTTCGTGGGACAGCACTTGTTTTGTTGTATTTCTCAGCTGATATTTTGGTTTCCTGCCAAGTTCTACCGGACACTTAGCGGCTGATTCTATTATTTAAAAAATATTATCTGGTAATTTATGTCCTGGGAGACGTTTAACGTTCCTGAACTCGTGAAGTGTTTGTTTTGAAGGGTATGTTGTTTTGTTCCAGATTGGTGTTTGTCACCAAGCAAGAGTGGGATATACTGACCGGACTGTACACTACAGACCACGTGGTCACCGTCAACGTCGACTACAGCACCAACCCAGGTAACTGCTAAATTGATCAGCTGTAGCCTGTTTTGTACTCAAACATTTTATGTTGTTTTGAGGGATTACTGTGTAAATTTCCCATTATAATTGGTCAAAAACAAATTGTCTCAAGGTTTCGGGATCTGGAATCTGATCCTGTCCTCAGGGGGAAAAGTAGCTTACTTAAAATAGAATAGTAGACAAATATAGACGGACCTTAAGAGGAGATCAGTTTCCAGATCCTGAAACGATCAGAAAACTGTCCAAATTTGATGGAAAATGTCCACAATAATCTTGAAGATTTCAAACTTGCTAATTACTAAAAGTGGACTTCAAACAAAGACCATGCTTGATTATTTGGAAGAGCCTAAATATGTATAACATTATCATCAACTTGACAATCTTTAATTTCTTCTAATAGTTTAAATTTGACGCCCTTTCAGTTGGATTGAACCGTTAGCATACAAGAAAGGAAGCTGTGTTTTACAACACCTCACTCTGTCGGCCCTGTAGATCAATTTATCCGAATTTGTAAGCTAAAACAGGTTACAGCCATATGAACTAATACAATAATACTTTAATGTAGGCCGGGACCCCTACACTCTTAAAAATAGCGATGCAATGTATATTTCACAGTAGTGATTTTTGTAACTATATACCACTCAAAAGTGTTAATTTAATCGATATAGACTCAATGATGCACCTGGTTCATTTATTCGTTTAACATCAGTTATACTCCCCGCAAACTTTCGTGGCGGCTGAGGGATTAGGACGGCCGGGTGGTGGCCCGACCCCTAATTAGCCCTCGCTCGGCTGCACTGGGTTTTGACCATGAGTCAGGCACTAGGCGTAATGCATAGATGATAGAGTTTTTGTATATCACCATAAAGTGTATTAAATAACGTCATTTTTGTAACCTGCATCAAATAACAAGAACATTGAGCCCAAACACGAAATAATTACGATGATTTTAAGTATATAGGCCTACTTGGTTTTAAAATAAGAGACAGTTTTTAGAACAAGGTATGTATTTAAGGTTACTGTATTTCCAAACTATTTACACTACTGTTCACTAACTATTTACAATTATGTTCAGAGAATGTCGTCCAAAGTTAAAATTAATAAATCTTAAATAATTAAAGATAAAACATCACCAATCTACTCAATGTTTAGACCAAACTTTAGTTGTATTCATATATAGATACGAACAACAACGGCATGGTGCTAACAGATATTTCTTTTCAGGGAAATGGTTTCACCTCCAGCTCTTGCGAGAACCAACAAGTCTATGTATATAATTGTAAATAGTTAGTGAACAGTAATGTAAATAATATTTAAATACTCTTAGATATATATATCTTGATCTGAAAACTGTGTATTATCCTTTAAAAACGTGTAGGTTTGTACTTGTTAATATAGAAAATATTTTGTAACACATTCAGCTCATGAGTGAATCTGGATAACATAATATAGTAAATGGATTTTGAACAGTATTGTGAATAGTTTTTAAATTGTCTAAAATGTATATAATTTATTCTATGATTTTATACTAAAACAAAGTGTAGGCCTGTATTTAATAATATCGCAATTATCCTTTTGTTTCACATTCATCTCCGGCGTGATTTGGAAAATATTCTCTGTACCGTACATAATTGTAAATTGCAAATAGTTAGTGAACAGCAGTGTAAATAGTTTGGAAATACAGTAACCTTAAATATATACCTTGTTCTAAAAACTGTCTATTATTTTAAAACCAAGTAGGCCTATATACTTCTTAAAATCATCGTAATTATTTCGTGTTTGGGCTCAATGTTCTTGTTATTTGATGCAGGTTACAAAAATGACGTTATTTAATACACTTTATGGTGGTATACAAAAACTCTATCCTCTATGCATTACGCCTAGTTGTTGACTCATGGTCAAAACCCAGTGCAGCCGAGCGAGGGCTAATTAGGGGCCGGGCCACCACCCGGCCGTCCTAATCCCTCAGCCGCCACGAAAGTTTGCGGGGAGTATAAATAATATTTATTTTAGATGAGTTCCAAAAATAAAATCTAACGCGGTCAACCACGCTGCTCTCAGTGTTGTGCGGTGGTAGGGGGGGGGAGGGAGGGGGAGTTGTTGTATAAGTTTACAAGACAATCATGACTACGGCGCTACGACCCCCTCTAGACCTATCGCCTGACCAATAAAAGATCCCTCACACAAACTTATTCACAAGTCTCCTCCTCTAATAGCTTTGACACAAGTTGTCGACAATTCTTGGCAATGATTGTGTCGTCCGTTCGCCAGCCGTCACAGGGTCGTCAGTCGTCAGGGTCGTCAGTCGTCAGGGTCGTCAGTCGTCAGGGTCGTCAGTCGTCAACAAACATACAGTCGTCGTGTGTTTGTTTATATCACTTTTGAAAACCATTAGGTAATATCAGTGACTTTGGATACTATTGAATATAGTTAATGCAACTTTTAAGATTTTACCTATTAAAAATATCATAGTTTCTCTAATTGCTTTGATAAAGGTTGTTCACAGCTAATGGGAGAAAGTATGTGTCACATTGCTGATACCGTTTATTTTCTTACAAATCAATTTGTTTCATTATTTTCTTTCCGTGGTATTTTCAGTATATCACCACGTATTTATCTAATGTCCCCTCCCTTAGATCAAGTGAATTTGATTGGCCATCGGGTGACCCACCTAGTAAATTTATAAACAAACAGAATTTGGTAAAATACTATGAATAATAATAAAAAAATCTAAAATCTGATTCGAAAGTTTAGTACGTCAATTGTTAAATCCCCTTACACTTAGCCAATAGGAATGTAAAAATTTTGAAGTTTAGTTGAGTATAAATTTTAAGTTTGACTTTTTAAATGTCAAATTTTAATATTATGACTACCGTTAATTTACTTATTAATTTTAATTTTTTATATGTAGTTACTATCCGACTGCTTTAGTAGCACCAAGTCCAATAAAAAATGTAATCTGATGGATACATAGTTAAATATTTCATCACTAGACTTGCTTTTGTCTGGTTTTGTTTGCTTACATATATGAGTTCCTTACTAGTAGATTTTTTACTTACAGGTAATGGAAAACAATGATACAAGATCTCAAAACACAAAACACTTACGTAGAAAAGTTAGCTAAAATCTGTAACGGAATTATGTATAATGCTAGAAATATTGGTAATTGATCTCTTAGATTTATTATAGTGATTATCAGAGGCAAAGTACAACCTAAGCAACTGAAGCCACAAGGTTAATTACAGCGTTTGAAAGACCAAGTCAGATGGGCTGGAAGGGACGTGTTTAATTTGTGGACCTAGTTGAGAGGAATGCCGCCCCAGTTGCAGTTATTAACACCACTAAATTAACACAACACAGGTCCTCTCAGGGCGGGGATGTCTTTCGTTCTGTTCACAACAGTCAAAACATTCCGAGTTTTAAATTGTTATAGTTTATTTGGTGTATTACTTGGGGCGCATATGGTTTTAAGTCGTTTGGGATACGTTGGCTCTTAGTTACGTGGTATAGGTATGTGGAACTAGACACAAAATGGATACAGTCTAGGCGATTATTTTCTCTATTTAGTTATGGGGGAACACTCGAATGATTTTAGAAGAGATTTACAAAACGCCTTAACACATTTTTGTAAATTACGAGTTTTAATTCTTAATGTCTGTCGATATTGCTTCAGAATTATTGGAAACTGAATAAGTGGTTTTATCTAAAAAAGAAAAAAATAGATCCTTGGCTATATTTTGTTTCTCTGCGATGTCTACAGTAGTTAACACACTGTCTAATTTGAGAAGGTTTGATGTCAAATTTGTTCCATGATTAATTGGGAAATATTGAAAATATAAGCTTTGGTTAGTAATTTATTTGTCCGACACATTTTTACTGTGCTTTTGATGATACAGAGTACAGTATTTTTAAATCCATACCTACAGTCACATGTGCAATAGTGTTTTTTTTGTGTTAATGTAAATTTTAAATGACGTAGTGGCTTATTAAGGTAAAGTGTAAGCTTATATTCTCGAATTTCGCTACGATTAGTGCCATTTGACGACGAATGTTGGTTGCAGGACAATTTCCAGTAAATAATTGCGTAAAAAACAATTTTTTTTAATTTGTATTATATTTTTGATTAAAAATATAAATCAATATCCTATAGTAGGCTAAATAGGGAAGGGTTGTAAAAAAATATGGGAAAAGGAGTTATAATAATACAAATAAAAAACGATATAACATGAAGTTAGAGACTATAAACTTAAGAACATATTTTTAATGTCTAACAAGCATTCGTTTATTGCAAAATATGAGCGGTTGAGTGGTTGGTCGCGGAGGGATCAGCGGCGAGTATAAACATTAGCAGGATGAGCGGCTTGTAGGGGAGGCAGGGGGAGATTGCCGGATTAGCCGAGGAAGCGCTGATGAAATGGTGTGAAAAAAGAGAAAAGGGAGGGTAATTGGTTCCCTCACCGTGCCACGTCACAACCCGACCACGGGGCGGCTCGAGTCTTACCTCCGTGTCACACGTAACCCATCCTGGCTATTATTGGAGTGTACTTTGTGTCCTAACTTCCTAACGCATCCCTACTTGAAGGACGATTCATATCTGTTATATGCTACGTAAATGTTGAACGAATTACCCAAGTGTTACTTCGTAGTACATCTTGCAAATTCCCTCTTTAAGGCTCTTCACATATGACGGCCAATGACAGGAGGCTCTAAATTCCCTCTTTGAGGATTGCATTATATGTTGGTTAATGACAGGGGGCTCTAAATTCCCTCTTTGAGGATCGCCATTTATGCTGACTGATTACAGGGGGGGGGTCTAAGTCCCCTCTTTGAGGATTGTATTATATGTTGGTTAATGACAGGGGGCTCTAAATTCCCTCTTTGAGGATCGCCATTTATGCTGGCTGATTACAGGGGTGGGGGTCTAAATTCCCTCTTTGAGGATCGCCATTTAGGCTGGCTGATTACAGGGGGGATCTAAATTCCCTTTTTGAGGATTG